CAATTGTATTTATTTGATTTACAAGTGAAGACATAATTCAGAGAATGAAGGGTCTGGTCCACAGAGTTGCAGCAACATCTGTAATAAGGAGCTCAGAAGCTTAGCTATTTAATATGGTTTAGGTTAGACATGCACCTTTTTGCCAATTGTTAATAAACAGTTCAGAGAGTGCTAATTTAGATTAACTGCGTGATATATATATATATATATAATGATTTTTTCTTTTTCTTTTCTACAATTGTATTTATTTGTTTTACAAGTGGAACCTAAGGGAAATAAAAAGGTGTCACACCCCCATATGTTGGGTAGTGTTGAATTTTACAATCTTTCTTTAGAAGAAGAGGGAACTAATGTCTTTTTGGGAAGCTAAGTTTGGTACCAGCTATCTACCTTCTATTCGGCGCGCCACACATGTAACCATAATCTAGGCACTAGTGTTGTATTAGAATACTGTCATGTGATGTTATTAATCGTAGTATTTCAACATTCCTTGCAATGGTATATGGATTGGATTGTATCACTTGTGGCCACCTTCCGGGCAAATACACTAGTGTTGGAATACACTAGTGATCTTTCTGTCATGATCTCCAAATTTTGATCCATTTTTATATTAAGTCGACAACAATAGAGAAGTTGTTTATATAAGAGACGTAATGTTTAAGCATTGTATATTATTACATGATTCGCATCTTGATTGGGATATTTCATTTCGTAATTTATACAAGAGACGTAATGGTTTGTCTTGACGCTACCCTATCTTCTGATCCTTGGGAGAATTTCATAATTGGCATTTTTCATGCACGAAACATTTATTTTCATTCTCTGCAAAAAAAAAAAATTCATTTTTCATCTGAAAAACATTCATATCATGAAAACCATTTAGTAAACCGTCGTGCTGGATCCGCTCATTTATGAAAATTATTAATTCCAGCTCAAGTTCATAGCCAGAGCCCATACCTGGTCACTAAACGGCCTCCTTATTGTTAAGGAGATACTCATCCTTCATGTAAATCACAATTGAACACATATACAAAAATAATTCATTAAAAATACAAAAAGAAAAACTTTTACATACATGTCACACTGCTATTGACATGAATGTAAGAGCTCCTAGTTACATAGTAAGGAGGGAAGTATTTTCCTAAATGTAATATACTATTATGTTTTTTTTTTTCTCTAAAACAAAGTATAATTGAATAAATTGTCTTTAAACGAGCCGGTCCGTATCATTGGACCTAATTACCTCATCACAGCACGGTCCAAAATTACAAGTCGTGACATGCCAAACCCTCCGTAAGCGGTCGTGCTCGTGTCGGCCCAATCCATTTGACACCTCACCCAACCCAACTGCTCAATATAAAACTTAAAGCAGAATTCCCAACCGTACGAACCAACTGCTCCATTAGATCCCAAAAAAACATTGACCCAGCAGCGAAATTTGAATTTGACCCATCGTCAAACTTCGCACACCAGTCTACAGTGAAATCCAATCCACATTGGTTGCCTCCAAACCATGGTTTTCCTGACATCTGGTGCACGTGGACATAGTTGACCGAGTTTCAGGTTTGATCCGGGTGCCTGTCGGCAGGAAGCTGGGTGTGAATGGTAGAAAACTCGGTGATTTGAGCATTTTGTTGTTTTTCCACCGTCCATCCAAACCACCCACTCTTTTATTCCTTTCTCTTGCGTATTTAATCATTGCCTTAGGGTTTAGGGTAAGCTAGATCGCTAGTGAATTTGTGAAACGACAATGCATTAGGGATTTGATTGGACGTCATATAATTCTAGGGGGCCCTATAAATCTAGGGTACATGCTACATACAAACATGTGATCCTTTTTTCATCATTTTCCTTTGCCTCTATAATCTATTTCTGTCTCTTTTCTGTCTCTCTGTACTCATAGAAGATTTCTGATTTCTGATTTTTCTGGTTCATAGATATGATCTGATCATGCAGTCATTTTTCCACATCTTTTCCAGTGATGCCCGTCTGATTAAATTCACCATTGGTCCAACGGGGAGGTATCATTATCACCAAGATTTTCCCTCCCTCTGATCTGATCAATCAATGTGGTGGCCCACATCTTATTGTCTTATAAAAGGTGGGTCCAATGGCATCTAAGCCATTGGAAAGGCACAAAGATTATTTACCTAAAGTTGGTGGGGTTAATAGAGCAGTGCCTTATAGTTGTAGGGCAATCTGTGTATATATTGTGTAACATGTTTTGATCCACTGGTTTTCTTGCAGACATATAGAGACAAAGAATTCCACTTTTACTCTTTTTGTGTTTTGTTTTGTTTTGTTTTCTATTTTTCTGTGTTATTTTGTAGTTGTAGTTCATATAATTTGGTATCTAATCAATTATCAATCTAATCTCACTTGACTTAGATTCGACGTACAACTAATATATGCCAAAAAGCCATGGGCTCCCATGCATTAGTCATAAACTTGTCACGGACGTTTTGGGCTGTGTCTCTCTATCAATCAATTACTCTTTAGAATCTATCTTTTATCACTCATGATATTTAGGATTTTAGGAATTTTTTATTTTTTTTAAATAACTTTAGTTGAGATGATGCGGGAGAGAGAGAGAAAAAGTTCTGGATTCCAAGCTAGATTTTTAATCCAAAACTAATATATAAATTGATGTTATGTTTACTAATCCGATTACGGATTATGAGGAATTAAATTGATGATGAACTAGATTGACGAGGAGTTGGATTGAGAAGAATTAGATTCCATATTCCTATTGAAGTTGTTTACTAAACCATATGGAATTGAGGTTTGAGTGGTATTAATTACTAAAATGTCCTTGTTGTTTGGATTAAGTATATGAAAATTTTCAAATTTTTAAAATTGTGTGAGGATATAATGGGTAAAAGAAAATGAATTTCTAATAGGTTAGATCTCTAGGAATTAGAATACCACATCCCACCTAAGAATTGAATTCCTCCAAAATCAGGAATTCAATTCCTAATTTTGTGTGAGCCCCACTTACTTTTTAATTCTTTGATGTGAAGTAAACACATGAATCCTCCATACTTGGAATTCAATTCCTGATTCAAATTCTAATTCATGATTTGTAAACACACAATGAGTTAATGTGCTACACCAAAACACCAAAATCTTGTGTCATCCAAATACTCTCATTTGCTTGAGTCCCTCTTATAGTCTAAACTCGTGTTGTTTGTTACCTACCTCTAAATGTGTTTAATGCTTAATGAAAATTGAGGTAATGTGCTTAATGATGATGTATGTCATTTAGAGAAATTATTGAGTGTGACCGTCATATCGTCATGTGTTGTTGAGAAAATCTATGATTGCATTCATAATTCAGCAAAAAAAAGTCACTAGCCACAAATTGCCATTACAATAACCCAAAAAAGAAAAACAAACAAAGCGGTTTAACATCAAAAATTAAGACAATCTGGTACGCATCTACTAACGATCACACAAAATCGAAGAAACTTTGGCATGGACATCCCAATTAAGATTGCAAACTCAGAATAATCAAAAAGAGATCAAGCTTGAAAAAACCAAGTCATAATAATACAAATAAAACTTTCACAAAAGAGAGATGAAAAGCTCTCACAAATGAGAGGTGAAAAATTCTCACAAAAGGAGATGTGAAAACTACTCAGAGAACCCAAATAGTCTCTATAACTTATTCCGAACATAAAGAAACTGCAAAAAGGATGTTGGTGGAGATCCAACGCCGAAACGCAGGTGGAGATCCAATGCCAAGACACAACCATCTGTGATGGTTGAAGGAAAATCATAACAAAACGAAGACAAATAGGAAAAACCTTTATCTCTGAAAATGAGGGAAGAAGAAAGGGAGGAAGAGAAGAGGGGAGGGGGAAGGAAAAACAGTAAATTCCTCCCCCCTAAAAGTGAAAACGGCTCTAAGAGGAATTTTTTTATAGATGTCATATATTTAAGGTATATAATTAATAAATAAATACATATGTCATAAGTTAACAAATTATATTAATATGATGCTAAGTGACTTGAGTGATATAATTGTGGATCCAAAAGAATCATGGGTTAGTTAGAACAAGGAAGATAAATGTAGAACAAATTAATTTTTATCTAGTGGTAGTTGGTAGTAGTTACCACTAAGTTGAAGTAAGTCTCAAATTTGACTTATGTAGATAGGAATCTAATGCCGATTAATTTATTATAACGCAATTTGGAAACATTTTTTTTTCTTCTATTTTTCTTTTGTAAAAAAGAAAACAAAGATAAATTAGAAAATCAAATGTAAGTGAGGATAATACGGAGGGTTAAAGTTTTTTCTTCTTCTTCGGAATGATACGTAGGATTAACGTTAACTTGTGACAACTAAAAACATTTAAAATGAACTTCTCATATTTTCTCACTCTTGTCCTTGTCAAGCAAGACCATCTTCTTTATTTGTTCTTCCCTATAATTTTCTTTACTATTTTAAACACATAATTAGACAAAATCTAGATCATTTCTTTGTCTTGGCAATCCATAGTTTTATGCATATGTATAGGTTCTAGTTTGTAAGAACAATTCAATACACCACAACTAAAAATAGGATGTTCATCACGCGTCTGCATCTGCATGTGACAAAAGTTATCAACAAGAGAAAACACACAAAGCTAGATGATTAGTCCGATGCCAAAGCCAGATTATTAGAACTTAAAAAAGCTTTTTAAAAATTCATTTTAAAATTCATCTTGAGTCTTTTTATATCTTTTATTTATCTTCTTCTTTTAAAATAAACACTAAAAACCAAAACGTTATCAGTGATCCCAATTTATTCCAATCTTTTTGTTCTTATTCCAATTTGTAATTTCCAAAAAACTAAAAAAGTAATCCAACAAAAGAAAAATAAAAAAAAGAAAGCAAAAGACGACCAATGTAATGAACCAAACGCGCCATGCAGAGCATGGAGTTTCACTTCCCTACCAGCATGTGTTTAATTAACTCCCCATCAATGTCCCCTCCTTTGACAATCTCCACCATATAAATAAATTCCCTCTTTTTCCTTCTTTCTTTGCTCCCAAGTCCCAACCTTTCATCTCTCACTCTCTCTCTCTCTCTCTCTCTCTCTCTCTCTTCTGCTCTTCTGCAACTGCAAATGCAACTCCATAACCAAACCCACTTCCTCAAACCACTCCCATCACATCACCCTTAGCCTCTGAGACACTTCTCCGAACAACCCAAAAAATGGGCAAAGCCTCCAAATGGTTCCGCTCCATCCTGGGCCTCAAAAAGCCCGACCCGAACCACCAAACCTCCACCTCCTCCCCAAAACCACCCACCAAAGACAAACGTCGCTGGAGCTTCGTCAAGTCCTACAGAGAAAAAAACCACCACCGCCATCAAAACGACACCCAACCGCTTCCTTCCGACTCCTCAAACGACGCCGTGGTCGACCCCAACAAACACGCCATCGCCGTCGCAGCCGCGACCGCCGCCGTGGCCGAAGCCGCTGTCGCCGCGGCGCAAGCCGCCGCCGCCGTGGTCCGCCTGACGAGCAGCGGACGGTGCCCCAGCAACCCCGCGGCGCACGTTAGCGCCGCCCGAATTGGGGTCCGCGAAGAAGAATGGGCCGCTCTGAAGATTCAAGCTGCTTTCCGAGGCTGTTTGGTTCGTATAACCGCTGAATTATTATTATTATTTAATTTTTTTGTGCAAGTTTTCTTAATTGACCGTTAATTTCTGATTAAGTTACTGGATTAGCATTGGGCCGGGAAGCTGACACGTGTCCCTTCTTTCACATTAGGCTTCGTGCTTAAACTAGTGTTCTTCTTCTATTCTACCACTACACAGTGAAAACTGCTGCACGTTCTGTAACCGAAGGTCCCATACGGCGTCGTTTTAGTCTTTGTAGAATTCTACACAGTTGGGCTACTTTGAGCCGTACATTCCATGTCGTTTTCCTCAAAACGGCAATACGTGCAGATTCTTTTGCACTGCCGTTTCTGGGTCATCTCTCTGTCAAACACTGAAATAGATAAACCCGCTAAAATGCACAGGGGTGCGTACTATACTACCTTCTTCCAAGAAAAACCCGTGTGGACCACTGGACCTCTCTAGGATTTTTCTTACAGCACATGGTCATTTAATTTTCAGAGGCCTTCCATTTTGGTTGTGTTGCCGTTTTCACAGAATGGGTGGGGCAGAAACTTTTCTCTTTGCTTTTCTAGAGTAAGTTGGTTTGGTTTCGTTGCTTTTCTAGAGCAAGTTGGTTTGGTTTGTCCAATGACATTTTTTTTAATGTCAAATTGTCAATGTCTTGGTATTCTTACTGTGGTTTTGGCATTCTTTAATTACCTCACGTCACCTCTCACCTAACACTTAGTTTAATTGGAAGGGAAGGGACTTAATTTCAATTGGGTTTCTTAGTGCTTTTGCCGTTTTTGGTAGGGTTCTTTAATTCCAACAATGTTTGATGTGGGGTTTTATAGTAGAATGGGACTTTCTAAAAGAAACCAAGTTGTCTAATTAACAGTCCCTTTGTAATTGATGCATTTTAGAGGAGTGGATGTGGATGGCCAAAAGTTTCAACTCCGTGCTTGTTGACGTTTCTGCCTGTTGGGTCCTCAACACTTAAAGTTTCGGTGGGTTCCTTAAAAAGAATTTTCTAATTGACTTTCTTAGGAATAGAGGAGGGGGGGGTGTAGGTTGGGTGTTTTAATGCTGAATTAAAATGTTGACAGCACAGTACAGTCAAACAATGGGATGCCTTTTTGCAGGGGCTAGTAGTGAAACGTCCCTGTTTTCTTATTTTTCATGTCAGAGTTATAGATTCATTTGGTACTGGCCTGAAAATAATTTCATTTAGGCGCTTGTTCCATTCGAATTTCTGTGTAGGTCCGCACACCTGCTCCTCGGCGCCATAATTTAAAATGTCATTTAAGTTTTGGCTATTCAATCATTTGGTTGGTACTGATATGATATATCCTGGTTTTGTTGTATTTGACATTTTGTGTTATTACTTGGTTGGAGTTTTAGTATTATCTCGAATGCATTTTATTTGGTTTTTCATAAGTTAAGTTACTTTGTCAAATGGTTATTTTGAAGGCAAGGAGAGCATTGCGAGCATTAAAGGGATTGGTGAGACTTCAGGCACTGGTAAGAGGTCATATTGTGAGGAAGAACACTGCTGAGCGGTTGCAGCAGCTGCAAGTAATCTTGCGTGCTCAGGCGAGAGCTCGAACAGGGCGGTCCCAAATTTCTGAGCTCTCGCATTCAAGGGCCAAGTCTTCTCAATTTCACCAACCTGTAAGGAAAATTTTCCTTTCCCTCCAATATGAGTTTTTTTCAAATAGATTTGAACTTCGAGTGGGGGGGACCATTATTTTTTCAGAACAATGTAGAAGGCTTTTCTATTCATGCATGTACTTTTCAGTACAGACACGTATAATGTTGTGAAGGAGGATTGTTTGGTAGAAATTTAAAGAGCTCCATGATGCATTGATGTGTAATTATATGTTATAAGAAACTTACAAACTTTTTTAGGTTCGCATGGACAGTGGACACTACTTTTGCTGTCAAATAAATGAGAGTGGCAGGTTGACAACTAGCATAATAGATATAACACTTAATGTCCATATCAAACTTGTAGACAGATAACATGTTAGAGGGGTTGATGGTTAAAAAGCTTACTACTACACAGATGTTGAGCCTTTTCTCAATCACTAGTTTTACCTCATCAGAAAAATAAAAAGACTAATTAGTTATTGATATGATCAACTGAGTTGTGATTGACTATCTGCTAATTAGCCATTATCATCTGAGTTCTAATTGACCATCTGTAATTGATTTGTGTGTTTTATGAATCAGTGATGACCTAAATATATCATCTGCATTCACCAAATGTTTGTTTACTCTTTAAACAAGAAAAATCTCTTCCACATGCAGGGTCCAGCAACCCCAGAAAAATTTGAACATCCCATCCGATCCAGGAGTACAAAACTCGAGCAATTTTCAACACTCAGGGTATGCTCAGATCTTGTATTTTATATGCATTGTCATGCTTTCTACTTATATGCAATCCTCGTGCCTATTACATTCTGCAGCGGAATAGCTCCAGATCATATGGCACTACAGATGATGAAAAGAATGACAGGGTTCTTGAAATCGATACTGGGAAACCATACATCGCAACTAAACGGAGAAACCTTTTCCACTCTACTCATCTTGCTCTGGCTTCAGACCAATACAGCCATAGCTTTACCACTTCAAAAGACTCTACCAGCCATCAAACACTTCCAAGTCCATCTTCTTGCGAGGTCCAATCTTTAACTCCGTTGAAATTCTCTGGAGAGGTTGAGGAAGACCCTTTCTGCACTGCCAACAGTAGTCCCCAGTTTTATTCTGCTTCATCAAGGGGCGGTAATTCAAAGAGAAGTCCCTTCACTCCCACAAGGAGCGATGGCTCGAAAAGTTACCTAAGTGGCTACTCAGATTACCCGAGCTACATGGCATGCACGGAATCCTCAAAGGCGAAGTTAAGGTCTCTTAGTGCTCCAAAGCAGAGGCCTCAGTATGAAAGGTCTGGCTCTGCAAAGAGGTACTCCATTCATGGCTTTGGTGAATCGAAATCAAGTGCTCAAAGGGCGTCCGCCTTGCACGCAAACTTTGCTAGCAAAGCCTACCCGGGATCTGGTCGGTTGGACAAGCTTGGGATGCCTGTGGGTTACAGATACTAATGCGGTGCCCTTTGGGGGTTTCAACCCCTCCACTGTAATTTTGAATCTAATCTGGCTAACTGATGTACTAAACTACTTCATTGTCCCTGTAATGTTAAGAATTCTATTAGCGTAGGGCATATATTTGTGGTTCTGAATCAAAGGCTGCTTCCGTAAAATGCCATTACTTTCTGTGTCAGTGTAAAATTAAGTTGGCAGAAGGTGAAGTGTATGAAATGCATGAAACTTCTAAGAATGAAAAATATATAGAAATATTAAGCGGTATGCCATTTGACCTTTGTGCTCTCATTGAAGAAAAACTCTGGTTATTGTTAAAGTCAATGAATCTGTTGACGTTTCATTCATTTTTCCCCCCTTAGGAACATCACATGGATAAAGAAATCTGGCCATACAAGAGTGAGAAAGAGGAAAAGAAAAAAAGAGGAAAGAGAAATTGGCTAAAGAACTTCACCTACAAACATCACCTATAGAATTAACAAAACACGAAACGTCATTTACAAGTATGTCTGAACGAACGTGTACGCATGCAAATATGTATCTAAAATAATAATAAGGCACTTGTCGTGTTCAATAGATTTCTGTTCTTTTTTCTATATACAAATGCAAAGTCTTTCATCTCCAAGGAAGAAAACTTCAATGTGCAAAATTCCAGCCAGCTGTACTGCCTGCATGTCAACTTTGGAATTAGGGACTGGAAAATGGGTTGAATTGAATCAACCTTGCGTTGCACTAGGACCAAATGATTTTGGGTCTGCAGATGGGTCATTAGATCATATGCCAATTGGGCCACCAAAGCTTTTTCAAAGTTTTTGCACACGTGGGTATGATTATATTATTTATTTATACAAGCAATACTGGGAGATGGGTGAACCGAACCTAAGACCTTAAATGCAAAGTACAAATGGCGTGTGCATGATTTAAGTTACAGTTAAACTAGAACGAACATAATAAGAGTAACACATGCGATTTAGACCAATTGACAAAATCGGAGTATGAGTTCAACTTTACATAGATTAGAGTAGTTCAAAATATCACCTATCACCGACATTCATCAGTGCTTGTGATAGAATTACGCATACTGATACTGTTGTAAACCTTGTCGGTAAACCTTACCAAGTAACAATTATAAGTCGCTTGACTTTGTAAACCTTATCAAATAACAATTATAAGTCGCTTGACTTTGTAAACCTTATCAAATAACAATTATATGTAGCTCGACTTTGGCATAGCACCCACATAATAGAACGTCAAAGGGAAGTCTCCTATTGTGTATAAGTCGGTAAATATAGTTGGTTCTTGCAAGTCTTCCCCATACTGAATGGACAGCAGCCTTAACTTATGGTGATAAAAGTTTGACCAAAAGCTGCTCAGAACTCGGGCAACACAAGTCCAACAGAACGAGGAGGAAAATATCCATTTTGAAGGAAAAATCTCATGTATATAACGGAAAGACATCCTCTGTATCAAATATACATATTACTACATATCTCCATGTACCAAGCAAACTAGAATATATCATGTGTTCTATGCATGTACATCAGTGAGGGTTCCCAACGACAGAAACATATTATATAAAAGAAGAAAAGAATCAGAGACAACATGAACAAGTCTAGGTATGGAAGTAGACAAAAGAAGCGGAGGGCCATCTCTCAGTTCCCACATTTCCATCTTGAGGTTGGCACACAGCTTAGGTAATGGCACCAGCTGCAGTGCTTGTTTAAGTTCTCTCCTTTGAACAGCAACACCAATCCCGTAGTTAATCTGCATTTAACAAGAAAATTGAAAACTACTCATCTCGAAACAGTTTCATATGTGCTAATGTGTATACTTAAACTCATCCATGACAGTAGAAATGAAAAGGTAAGAAAAAATAGACCGACACTACGGGGATGGTCTCCGATTTGAACCAGATTAAATAATAAATTAGAATTCAAGCAACAAGCTTACCCAGCAATCAGTAAGGCAGAGGCAACCAACAAAAGAATATATTGATAAGGCTTGTGCTTAGATTTGACACCAGTGTCAGCTGGAAGATTCCGACTCTCCATCCATCCAAACTGGGGACGAAGGAGCAAAATAAAACCAAGGAGAAACCCAGCCAAGAATCCTCCGATGTGGGCGAAGTTGTCAACATGAGGAAGAATTCCAACTGCTAAGTTAATGGCAATAATGACTATAAGCGTCAATAGAGCTGCAGCCTGGAAGGGCAAGAGAAAAGCAAGAGTTAATGACAGTAAAACATTCCGATCTTAAAACGAAATCATGACAAAAATGCAAACATCAAATCCATTTAAAGAATATCAACTTCACTTTATAAAATTGGAAAATCAGTAGCAAACCTTGTTTGTGTATATACTCCAGTTAGTGAGAAGCTCCGATAACATAGCTCCCAGAAGTCCAAACAGAGCGCCAGAAGCACCAACAGAAATATTGCTCTGAATAAAAAGGGCTGATAATATGCTCCCACCAAGTCCTGACAACAGGTAGATTATCCCCACACGCACTGCCAAATCATTCAATCCAGAACTGATGTTAGAATGCAACAAAACCATCATAAAAATATGTCACAAGAAAATACACTAATAACAAAATTGAACAAGGCTTAAAATATCTGCACAATTATCATCAGGGAACAAAACATTTATTTGAATTGCCTTGAATTCAATTTGAATGCACAAATGCATCCAGCACAGTAAAGTGATGCTGGAGACTAGGGATAAAAAAGGCCTCATACATAATTTAGAATAAATTCAAAAGAGTTGAATATAGAAAATTAAGAATGTTCCCATATCCGCACTCTTCTAAATGTAAAGAACAAAAGGCTCCTTTTAATATGCATAATCATGAAGTCCTTAAATTGACCTCATTTTACTTAAAACCTTAATTCAAGGCATGGTAAGAAAAATGGCATACCAAACCCAAATTGCTGTTCAAGGCGGATGCCAATAAAGATCAAGCTCAGCATGTTTGCAAGCAAATGAATGACACCGGCGTGCAACCACATACAAGTGACAAGTCTCCATCCTTGATGCCCATGTACAACCTTGAACCACTCCAGAGCTCCCAATTTTTCCAATCTGCAAAAGCAGGAAATATTTCTCATATGATAAAAACCAAAAAGCAAAAAGGAAAGAGAAATTATTTTCCCATCCAGATACACCTGGAAACCACTTTCATCCAAGTATAACAAGCAAAAAAAATAACTTAAAAAATAAAGAAACGTAAAAACGTTCGAGTCTTTGAACTATGGCTTTTTAATTTCCAGGATTCGATATCCTTTGTTCGAATCACACAAAAGTTCATTACTTTGTGGTCAGAAAAAGGGTCATTCAGAGTCTTGGAGGTAAATTTGTCCTGGCATAAGCTACTGGATTATGAATTAGGATATCAATGAGTTAGAATAACAAAAATTCCAAGCAGATAACACAAATTGAAAAGGGGGAAGAAAAAAAAAACTAGTTCTACAAATGTAATTAGAAAAAAACTAACACTTAGGATATCAATGAGTTAGAATCTCAGACCAATCTAGCATTATGAATTAGGATTGGAAGTTTAAAAACCAAAAAAGAATAAACAACACAGGAAGAATCAGAAGAAAATCATGCACTTCAAACAATTCTATCAGCCTAAACTCAAGAGAGCATGCCCAATCAAAAACTGAAAAGGAAGAAATATCAAAACGAGAAATTGAAGTATAAACTGCTGCTTAGTAACATACTGGACATCATATAACATTAGAAAAACAGTAAATTCTCAACTTGCACACAACCAAATAAGCAAACCGCAAAATTTGCCCAAAAATCATAAACTTTACAATTAAAAAGCAATCAAAATTTTCAAACCCAAATCCAAAAACCGAGAAAAATCACTAAATTGAGAGATGGGTAAGTCAGAGAACTCACGTGGAAGAAGATGGGCCAAATAGAGGGTTCTCCTGGAGGGGCTGAAATGAAAGCCGACCAAGAAACTTGGCTACACACTTGCCATAAATACCAGTATTGTTCCTTGGACAGTTGTTGACAAACATAGCCACAATGAAGACAACAATATTGGCCACCACAAACATAGGAATCAACCAGGATGTCCATTGATGCTCTTGAGTTCCCACATAGTACTGGTTTGGATTGTAATTGTTGTTAGCTCTGGGTTTTTCTGTTCCTGCTCGTTCTAGATCAGCCATGGTTTGATTTTCTTTTTCTCTCTCTGTTTGTCTCTCAAGTCTCAAACTTTTTCTCTGTACAATGAGAAAGGCCAATGTTTTTTGGGTAGGTGTTTATATTGTGGAAGGAAAAAAAAGGGAAGAGGGATTGAGAAGTGACTTGGAAGCGAGTAGAAGACGTGTTTTTGGATGAAGCAAAAGAAAAGAAGAGAGATTTGGAAGCAGAAGAGATGGGTGGGCAAAGAAAGTTGTAGATTTAACAGTCGAACAAGTAATGTGAATAATGTTTAGGAGGAGAGAGTGCTTTGTATCTCTCTCTCTCTCTGTATTTCTTGTATGTAGGAGAGTGAGCGCTTTGTGCTGGCCTGGCTTGTCTGTCATTTTATGTATTTATATTACGCGGTGCTCTTAATATTCCTTAATTAATAACGTTTAGGAGTTTCCGAATCACATTAGGTTTTTGTGAAATTACATCGTTATCCCTGCTTAAATCCTTATGCTAAAAAAAAACCGGAGCATTTTTCAACAGAAAAAGGAAAAAGAGAGTTAGGGCATATGGACCAGTTCTATACTTCTGTGTGGAAGTTATAATCGGCTACTGTTTTTATTTTTAATTTATTTATTTTATTAGACATTTATGTTTGTAATTTCTTGTGCTTGCCAATTGGAAATGTTTAGTATCACTGGAAGTATATATATATATATAAAACACACGTGATTGATCAAATTTGTTCCCATTCAATGCTTGGTGTGTCTCAAGAATATTAATTTGTTAAGCAAAACATGATAAAATAATGTGGTTTGCTTTATGTAGTGTTGTTGAGGTTTTATTTTTCGGTTCGTTTCACCGAATAATAAGAAAAGAAAAACTAATTTTATTTGCGTCTTTTTTTTTTTTGGGTCTGAACCATGAGATGGTTCTGGATGGGCCCCAACTATGGGTGGCACCTTTAAGCCTTAACCACAACCCAGACTAATCCCCACTCACACCGGGTCGGCTCGTAAGGGATAAAGTGTTG